TGCATCTATTGCAGTACATACACAGACAGACACCTTATACTGTGACAGCACCTAACTGTGATGAACTAGGTCCTGGGCAAGGTGTCAGGTGGACCCGGTTCCCTGCCCTGAGCTTGGGATCTAACTGGAGAATCAGGCAGCAAACAGGCAATTAACAACAGGGTGTAATGCTGCAGACGTGCCGCTCAGAGGCCCCCCACACCCAACCTCCCTCACCTCCTCTACTTTTTCTTTTCTGTGTTACCTATCACCTTCTAACAGACAATGTACTTTACCTGTCATGTATATGGCTTATAGCCCATCTCCCCACACTAGAATTTAAATTCCAGAAGGACGGAGACCGTCATCTGCTTTGTCTACTGTTGTAGCCCTAAAAATGCACCTGGCCCCTCACAGAAGCTCCAAAATGAAATGAATAACCATCAGCATTCTGACTTTCCAGTTTCACATTTAACAACCGACTTCTCCTCAGGCCCAAGGAACAGTCTAGCCTCAGGCGTGGAGGGGGGATTTTCTAAGGCGATGAGGAACTCAGGGAGATGGGACCAATGATCTATGTGTGAACTGACACTTGGCTGGCTAGCATGACTCAGGAAGCATCTGACTCAGTTCACTGGGAGAGTTCTTCAGCTCTGAATTGAGAGAACCAGGGAAAATTGTACCTCCTAGTTGCCTGGGACCAGGTGTCATGTCTCCCAGAGGATTTCTCGAGTCTGAGTCAAGCAGATATGCTCCTATAGCAGCAGGTGCCCTATCTAAAATGTCATGAAATGCAAAAATATGGGGAAAAGCCTGCCGCTCCCTTGGGCAGGAAAAGGTAGGGAAATGTGGAGCCAGACCTTGAAAGGATGCTGGTTAGCCATGTTAGTCAAGTTCTAGGTCAAGATGGGGGTTTGGTTGGCGGTTGTAAATTCATGGTTTGAAGCCATTAACCAGGGAAAGGGTTGTTTTAAAAAATAACTCAGAAAAATAATGTACATTTATTTCATGAATACAAAGAACTACAGATAGGGACACATTTATTCTCTTCCATTTCTCCTGCTGTATTTTATTATGGACCGGTGTTGGGAGATCAAATGAAAGGGAATGCCATTTTATGAGGATGGTAGCACTTTGCCCAAGGAGTTCCTTGGCATTACACTGGGGCCAAAAATGTATGCAGATAGGAATACCGTGATAAGGTCATCTTGCCAGAAGAATGCTACACAGATCCGAATTTTTTCTCATATCCAGATGAAATTTCACTTGAAAGGTCCAGATGCTTTGCCTACAGCCTAAAATGTATGTAAATGACATGGCCAGCAGCGCAATGTGAAAAAAATAAGTTACATATTCAGATGATTCTGAGACTCTACATGTATATGCCTCTTTATTAAGTGGAAAAGTCATCAATTCTGAGTAAGAACCAATAACCAAATACTGGGTCTCATTTTGGCAGTACATTTGGATACTGTTATCCTCGACCACATAACCCACTCATTTCCATTTCATTTGTTACTTATTCTTTCAAAATCTGTAAAAGCTGTTACGTGATCATAGGAAAAATATCTTCGCCCATTTATTCATTTATATATTGATTTTCCATTTCTTTGTGATACTTTCTCTGAGTGCTTTGATACAGAACAGTCAAAACTGGAAATGAAATGTGAGAGCTGAACTTTATCTTCAGTAATGTGCACAGCTGGTGATTTCAAAGGAAGTCATGTCACTGAGAACAGAATGTATTCCCTACACATATTTTGCAACCGTTCCCACCATTCTACCCAAAGGACCCTTGTCAAGGTCAACAGCGACCACCGTGTTGCCAAATGTAATACTCATTTCTCAGTCAGATTGGAAACTGATCTCTCAGCAGTATTTGAACAGGCTGATATTCTGTCTTCCTGACACTTTTTCTTCCCTTCGTCCCGGGGACACCCTCTCTTTCTGTTTTCTTCTTACCTAAGTGACTGCTTCTTCTCATCTACTTTCCTTTGCTCCTAAGTTCTTGGCCCCTGGAGGCTCCTGGTCTCAGTCCCCAGGCTTTGCTCTTCACCACCTGCACTCCCTCCCTTCGTCCTCCCCTCCAGTCCCCGGCTCTACAGAGCATCTCTGCAGCACTAACATTCACACATTGTCGGCAAGAGCCCTGAATCTTCCTTGGATTCATGTAGCTGTAGCTCTGATTCCTGCTGGAGACCTCCACAAGGATGCGTCACAAGCCTCTCACATCTCAAACCCTGGTTCCTAGTCTCCCGGCAGAACCTCCACAAGGATGCCTCACAAGCCTCTCATCCCAAACCCTGGTTCCTAGTCTCCCGGCAGAACCTCCACAAGGATGCGTCACAAGCCTCTCACATCCCAAACCCTGGTCCCTAGTCTCCCGGAAGAACCTCCACAAGGATGCCTCACAAGCCTCTCACATCCCAAACCCTGGTTCCTAGTCTCCCGGCAGGACCTCCACAAGGATGCCTCACAAGCCTCTCACATCCCAAACCCTGGTCCACTTGTCTCCAGGGACCGCTGTCCTGCACCCCCCCGTCCCCAAAATGTAGGCTTTTCACTTTTGATCCTCCCCCCCCGATATTTCATTTAAAGGGGAGTGTCTATGAGTATAATTTCAAAGCTGACTTTTTAAAGTCTAGTTGACTTACAATATGATATTAGTTTCAGGTGTAGAACATAGTGATCCGATATTCCATATAAAGTTATAAAATACTGGCTATAGTACCTGTGCTGAACGTTACACCCTTGAATCTTATTTTACACCTAGAAGTTCAAAACTCATTACAGCTGCAGTTACAGGGTTCCCTGAGAGGCACCACCTGTGCCCAGTTTGGAAGGCTCACAAGCTGAGCCATCAGGAGGAAAGATCAGCTTCCTTATTTTATCTCCCCTCGTCCTTGTGTCACTGACCCACCTACATCTCCATTTTCCCCTGCTTATGATGGCATGCTGGCTGTGGAGCTTGAGGATTTATCTTTCCAACGTTCCCTGGCTCCCTGGCTTTCCTGCTCAGAAATGATGGATGTCCCCTCCCACCTGTCAGTTTCCCTGACCCTCAGGGGCGCATTTAACCTTCCATAAATTGGCACAGAGCCTCTGAGATGCAAAACACAGTGCCAACGTGCTGAGCACGCTCCAGCCTTTATTGCCATTCTGAACACATTCCTAAGAAAATCAGATACTCTACCAAAAAACTTATTTTTCAGTTCTGGGCTTTCTTCCACTTTTTCTCAGTTTTCACCTATTTGCCTCTGAGAGTGGCAACGGCTTCCCAATGCACAGCCCCAAAATACCCTCTGCAGTTTTTCGTGATCCTCATCCTAGTTAAAATTGGGAATGGAAATAGCCAAACCCGATTTGCTGGCCTCCTTAGTGTCGGTGTTCTCCCGGGAACACACTTCCTTTTACAGTAAACACAGGCTGTCTGTTTCTGAGGATCCGATAAGGACTGTGTTGTGTGACACAAGCTCCTAATAAACACTCATGGAACCGGGTCTCTCACCCCCTCTAGACCTGCAGTGGTAAGACCTTGATGGTGAGAAGAAGGGACGTGTCTCGTTTAAAATCTGCCAGCAGCTTTCAGGTCCATCTTAGGGTGAAGACTTGCAGGAAAGCCAGTTTAATGGACCTTGTGGGTATGTAAGAGTGGAACCAATTTTTGATTCTGGCTTGGAGGCAAAATGTGGAGCTAAGCTGCTCTGCATCATAAGGTTTTCTCTCTCTCTCTCTCTCTCTGGGTCTAAGAGAAGGTCTGAACTTCAAGAAGGGGAAAATGTCCAAAAATTCACCTCTCAGTAGCAGCTGGTGGTAAGCGGGGTCAAGAAAAAGGAAAGGCAGTAGGCTCCCTGTGAATGGCCATGGGCCTAGGAATCCGGGAGCAGGAAGACGCATTATCCATTTTAAGTTTTCTTTGCTATAATTCCCTTATATTATGCTCAAGCCTTTAACCAAGTTTTGTAAAACTGGTCTTTGTTGTGATTTAGAAGATTGATGGAAAGCCTGTGGTCACACTTTGGGGAACTGTTCCTGGCAGCAGGGGGGCAGCCTGGACAAGCTGGCTGAGAGACAGCTGGAGTGGTCCAGGGAAGGTGGCAGAAGAGGTGACACTTGGCAGCTAGGACCATATAGGTATCGCTCAAGGATGATCTCAGCAATACAGAGGGAGGGAAAACTGGTCAAAGATGGAGCACCCAGCAGAGGACTGCGGTCAGAGGATGTGTTCTTCTTTGGGTATTAAATGGGATGGTGACCTTTTAAGACTGGAGAACGTGGGAACATCTGGGCTGTACTTAGGAATGAAAACCTCTTTAAATTAAGACAGTTGTATTTCTTATGCTTGTCATATCCACTGTCTCTATTCCTAGCCTCCCCACCCATCCCCTCCGACTCCTGTGATGTTTCCACAAATCACTTGACATTTTGAACAAAGAAGATAATCTGAACTTTTCAGTGATGTTTATTTCTCACCCTGTCATTCTTCCTATGATCCATGTAAAAAACAGAGGAAATATTGCCAAGTTCCAACAAGCACATACCGTTATGTTCATAGCATAAATGGGACTTCCCTGGTGGCGCAGTGGTTAAGAATCCGCCTGCCAATGCAGGGGACACGGGTTTGAGCCCTGGTCCGGGAAGATCCCATATGCCGCAGAGCAACTAAGCCTGTGCGCCACAACTACTTAGCCCACGTGCCACAACTACTGAAGCCCACATGCCTAGAGCCCGTGCCTCGTAACAAAGAGAAGCCGCCACTTGCCACAACTAGAGAAAGGCTGCGCGCAGCAATGAAGACCCAACACAGCCAAAAAAGAAAAAAAATAGCATAAACGATTCGGTCATAATAAATTATATCTTAAGGTAGTAAAATTAAAATCTAAAGGTAATTTCGTGCCTCTGTTTAACTTATATATGGCTTCCTTCCTTAAGCCAAGTTATTTTATCACCACTTGTACCCTGTGGAGATGTCACTACGCTCTGAAAATATACTGCAATTGAAGCCACTCAAGGAAACTTACTTTCTATCGGGACTCCATTCAATAACCAGCTAATTCTGGGTTTGGGGTTGCCATTAGCTCTGCAGATCAGGGTTCCATCCTCTCCTGGGGACAGCACAAGATTTTGAGGTGCTATGATCCAGTATGGAGCCGCTTTGTGAGGAAAGGAAAAAAAACCCACAAAAAATTGAATCAAATAAGTTATTCTAGCAAACTGAACTATCTTAATAAAAATAAGTATTTTGCAAAACATTTGTTAGTTTCATTTTTTTTTAGAGTGAATAGATTTATGCTTCAAAGAACACTTCAGATTTTCAGAAGAATGTTTAAGAAGACTCAGTGACATCTATGTATTATTTCTAGAGCCTTTTGATTCAAATATCGTCATCTTGTTTTACATTACGTTAATCAGACATCGAAGAGGTAACAGATTTCTCTAACGTTGTAGAGGAATTTACAGGTACAGATAGGGCTAAGAAACGTGAATTTAAAATCTGAGCCCTGTAGAATACATATAATTATAAATCTGAGCCCTGTAGAATACACACAATTATAAATCTGAGCCCTGTAGAATACATACAATTATAAAACTGGGAAGCAGTTTTTAAAGCTTTGCATTTTTGGAAAGCTGCCAAGTTAGTATAGCGTGTTCTTATAAGCCCTTCATCAGCTTTCTCTTACAAAACCATGGAACAGATACCAAAACAAGAAATTAACATTGGATACCATCATCTCAACTACACACTGTATGAGGATTTCCCCAATTTTTCCCCTAATGTCTTATTTCTGTCTCAGGACCCTGTCCTGGACACCACATTGCGTTTAATTGTCACATCTTAGTTTCCTCCAATCTGGAAGTTTCTTGCTCTTTCCTTGTTTTTCATGAACCTGAGACTTTTAAAGACAACTAGTCAGTTATTTTGTAGAACATCTTTTTTTTTCTCTCTCTCTAAATAATCAAGAGCTTTTTGGTTATTTTTTGTAATAAGGAACATCCTCTTTTCAGCATTATCAGGACAGAAATGGAGAAAAGTGAATATATGTCAGTGTTAGTCATAAGTGTTACATATCAATGTTAATTACTAGCCCAACACTATAAGTTCTCCATCATCTCTTTTTTTTTCATGAAGAGTTTCTTCCTTGAACATCCTTCCAGACTTACAAAGGAGAACTAGTCAACTGAATTCTTTCAGGGATAAATCAAGCTTACTAAATTGATTAATCTTCGTATTTCTCCTAAGGTATGTTCTCTACTTCTTATCTGTAACTAAAATATTTTGTGAAAGATTTTCAACATGCACTCATTCCTAGAGAATGTTTCTACCAGTGACTACTGAATTCTCCTACAGATCAATGGGAAGGTTTTAAGTGAACAAAAGCTCTTCCATCTAAGGTCAAATTTAGTGATTTCTGAGTGAAGAACTCCTGAATTTTTAGATTATAATCACCATCCAACCACCGCCATCAGTATCATCTAATTACTTCTTTTTATAAAAAAAAGGTCATACTCCATTTACAGTTATTATCGAATATTGGCTATATCTCCCGTGTTGTACAATAGATCCTTGTAGCTTATTTTAAACATCATAGTTTGTACCTCTTAACCCTCTACCCCTTTACTGCCTCTCCCCACTGGTAACTGCTGTTGTAGACGTCCATCATATCTGGGAGTACATGATATTGACATGGCTTATTAGTGGTTATATTAACCTTGATCACTTGGTTAGAGTGATGTCTGCCAGGTTTCTCCACTGTAAAGTTATTATTTTCCTGCTTTCCATGTTCTATTCGTTAGAAGCAAGCAAGTCCAGCCCTCACTCAAGGGGAGGACAATTAAGCTCCATCTCCTTAAGGCACGAGGAGTAAAGAATTTGTGGACATATATTAAACCTGCCTCAGTAATTAATTTTTGGGGGGTGAGGGGAGAAGAAACACTTTGAGGCTATGCAAATATCCTGTTTCTCCTTAAAGTTCCATCCCGTAATTTTAGCATTCGTCACTAGCTCTTGCCTACAGCAGTTATAACTGTGGGATTCTAACTGTGATTTCCTATTTCCTTCATTCTTTCTACACTTACTAATTGGAGTCCTCTGCAAGGAAGATCCGAGGGAGTGAATTTTTAACCTGATTTAGATGCACTATAAAAGCAATGAGAAGAGATTCAAGGTGCCATGTATGTTGATATAAATTACATTATTATTGAATATAATCAAAGGCATTTTGATTGAAGACTCAGGGATTCTCAATGGAGGCAAGAGCCATGTATTTTAGACAATGATATACCTTTAACTGTGACAGAAATGGTATGATGGATGGCTCCTAGTGCATTTTTGGCTATACACTGGTAATTCCCAGAGTCTGCTTCTGTAACCTGGACAATCTGCAGAGTTTTCTTAAAGTTCCTATAAAATGTCCGGTTGATGGAGAGTGTTCCATCTTCTTTTATCCAGTAAATAATTGGGGTAGGCCTGATAAGATGAATAAACAATAACATTACAAGAAAAGAAGTTCACCTAGCTGCTTTTGAGGGTGATTTTCATGTGAGCTTGTCACAAACATAAAGATCATGAGGAATATACAGAGATTTTACCTAGCACCGCACTTTTCTGAGTCATGCTCAAAACCTTACATTTCAGTCTGTAAGTTACCATTTTCACACAAGCAGAACTGTCCTAATTGATGGCACACTGTGAACTTGGACTTCAGGGATCTGGTGAGAATGGCAGCAAGACTTACTTGACTGAAGGGACCTAATTATTTTCTTCAAAGTTCTGATCAGTGAAGCACTCTTGGAAAATTCTGCATGAAGGGACTATGTCAATCAAAAGAATGACCATGAAATTAATGACACCGAGTTATAATTTTTTTATAAGCTAGAGTTAAAAATGCCAGAGAAAGAGCTGATATACATATTTGTGCCCATGAACTTTTCACACATTTCCACATCAAATGGAAGCACCTCCCTATCTTATAACAGGCTATCTGATGATCTGAATGAAGTGATTAGAGGAATCGTGCATTTACACGATTGTAAATGGTATGTTACTCATACCATTTCTCACCTATGTTTCTTATTAAATCATGAACTACAGAGGCAGATGAAAAGCCAGACATAGGCTTAGAGTTAAAAGGTCTGCTTCAAAATCCCAGCCTTATCCCTAAATTGCTCTCTGATCTTGGATCTCTGACCCTTTTGGGCCTCAGGTTTCTCTGTTGCCTTAATGTGCATAATGATGTTTGTTTTGATCTGGTGACTTGAGAAGGTTTTCATGAGGGTAAAATAAAAATCCATTCAATACATTTACTGAGACTAAATTATAGACCAAGCACTGAGTTGTGCGTTGGGAAGATAAAGATAAAAAACAGAATGGTCCACGCCCTCAGGAAGATCACAATGTATTTATCATTAGAAATGCAAGTGGGATTAATGGATTGCAGAATTTTTTTCATTTGTTTGGTTGAATAAAAATAATTGAACAGATATATTTGAGGAACTGAATTGTGAGTAGTGTGATTTCCTGACACGGCCAGCAGAGGCCTCCATGTGCCTCCGGAGGTAAAATTATTCCTGGAGGCCAATTCTGGGATTCTAGGAAGGAATGTGGACTTTGAGTCACCAGGCCAAGGACAGCACAGATCATAACACGTGATCACAACATGTTTCCGAGATTCCAATCAATGTTTTCAGCAAATGTGCCTTATTAGTAGTACTTGCTCTGTGCCAGGCATAAGAGGGAACTATATAGAGAAGCTTCCCTTGAACGTTTTCCTAATATGGGACTCCTGTCAAGGGCACATGCGTTCTGGGGGTGGCGTCAGTTTTGAGGTCTGCACAGATGAGACATCTGCAAAGAAGCTGGGCTGGCGACTAGTCACTAGGAAGCAGGGGTTGGGACAGTGTGCCAGGTAGGAGGTTAGGTCCTGTGAGGCCATGTTTGCCTCTGCTGTTAGGAGAACAAGCCAGGGCGAGATTGCTAGACGGATGTGAGAAACTCATGGTCAAGAGCTCCGTTGCCCTGCTCATAGCCAGCAGACCCAGAGCTGTGAACCCAGAGCCGAGCCGCCCAGCAGATGCACAAACAGGGTCAACTGAAATCAGTCAGATCTAGCCTGTTACAGCACAACTGCCCTGCAGACCTGTAGACAAACGATCAGTGATAAACAGCTATTGGTTTTAAGCCGCTAATTTTTGAGATGCTTTGTTAGACAACAGTAGCAAAATAATAACCTGAATTACATAACCAGAGCAGTGAGAAGGTGATTACTGATACTTATCTCAAAAGGAACACTATTAACAAAATATTTTAATAACATGAAATTTATATGGCCTGTTTTGGAAGGAATTATCACATTTTTCTTGATGCTTAATGGAATCAACATAAGACAACGACTCTTGTTATGATATTAACGCCTCTCTACCAATCTACTATGTCTACCTAAGAAGTGGACATCAAGACAGACAGAGTTAACTCACAGCCCTTCTGCAATGCACTCAAGTGAAAGGACATTTCCTCGTAATTCCTCTTTGCGGCTTGCATTGCCTTCTGGAGTTAAAAATGTTGGTGGCCTCTCTCTATGTGATTTAGCTGCAAACAAGAAAATCAATATGCATTCAGAGTTATGAACACGGATTTCTAGAAGCCCAGTTCACTGTCTAAGAATCTAATCCCTTTGCAAATCCATTTAGCATTTGATTGTGAAATTTGGTAAACAGACACGCTCTTTGCCTTGCAAATAGCCATCACTCACTCAGCCGGAAGCAGAAAGTATTTTGGTTGCACCACAAGCACTAATAATAAGAACTTTTTTCCTCTTGTACATTTCCCTAATTTGGGTTAGGGTCCTATGAATTTCTGGTGAGTTGGCAAATTTTCAAAATGTAGACATAGAGAGGAAAATCATGTTATCAAACTTTCCATCTCTTAAGATGAGTGCGCACGTCAAATGGAAAATGAGCTGTCTGGAAGATAAGATGATGGAAGGGGTATTTTGCTTTACCCTAGGGACAACATTATAGTCAATTCCATTGACCAATCGTGAAGATAAATCGTGATGGACAGCTAACATATCAAAACTGCAAAGTTTATGGAAAACAAAACAAAACACAACTAGAAAGTGACTGCAGAGGTATGGCAAATCGTGTGCCATAAACTAAGGGTGGACTTAAAGCAATTGAAATGGGTTTCCTCGACAAAAACGTAAAAAAGGGCTCAAGTCAGAAATCTCAGGAAGATACCTACAGACTACCCTTCATGTTTTATGTAGTCCTTGCCTAAATGTGGCCTTATCTCCTGATGGCCTCTCAGAAAAACTTAAAGTCGAAATCATACCGTCTTGAGGTTCTAAGGGCCCTTTACAGTGTTCAACACTTTAATGTATTATCTACTTGATGTTCATAAAAACTGAAAAGGTAACATATGAATTCTTCTCATTTCTCAGAAGAAAAGACTGAACACCAGAGAAGGTATTACTGGAGATAAATTAGAGTTTTCCTTAGATTTTACCGCTCTGAAATCACTTTGGGAATGATTTTGAGACCCATATTTTTCAGGAGGATTTTAACATAAAATAAAAATAAGATAAAATGAAATAAGGCAGGAGTTGTGATCTGTTTACTCTGGTCATTGATAGTACCTTAATGTTTTTTACTTCATATCTCAAAGGTAAAAAATTAATACAGCAGAAACTCTGCCTTATAGATAATTAAGAGGACCCCATATCCAGAACCCATAATTTTCAGGTATAGACTCTATATCTGAGAGCCATATTTCCGTTAAGGAAATCAAATTCTTTTCTTTTTAAAAGAATGAAGTTAAATCCTCTATTTTTAAAAAGATTACTTCCACTGAAGACAGTCACTCGATTTTAAACAAAACTAAGAGAAATACTATTGCTAATTATATGACGTTGATAAGGTCATGTGAAAACAGATGGAAATACGATGATTTACTATCAAAATCCACTTAATATTAATTGCAAAAAGTTTACTAAGACTTTGACGTTAGTATTTTAGCAGGTTAACGCACCTTGCCAACTCTTATTTAATTCATGAGAAAAGCTTATGAGCCAGACAAAAAAATGAAAAATGTAATTCTGAACATACACGAAAGATTTTTTTCCAAACCTTGTAGAATGGTTCTTTACATGAAAACAGTTATAGTAACTTTCATTATTATACATACAACATGGAACACGTTTTAGTGACATGTTTGAAAGCTCAGAGCTAAACTTCATATGAAACATACATTGATTTTAGTGGTATTAAACATGGAACTAGGAATTTCATAAAGAAATAAGGTTAAACAGCCATGGAGGTGAAGTTAGTGAACTAAATTCTACAATGAAGGAGACATATCAGTTACAATCACCATAACTCACCACCATAAAACTCAGTGTCACTCAAATTAGCAGCTATAGTGTCATTCAATTCATCCACTGAAATAAACAGAATATTATGAAGAATGCAAAAAGTAGGGGGCAGGGGATTGTAAAAAAAATATTGGGCAACAAAAGCAAACATATATACCTATGCTGACCGAGTACCATCCCTACCAAGTAAAAACAGTGCTTTACATTGTATAGAACTATTTCATTAATTCACTCAGCCACCCCCCAACCAGTAATATGTGAATATATAACTGAAGCAGCAGGACTCCCAATTAAAGGCATCGTGGAGCATAAAGCACTCACAAATGCTCAGAACACTAAGTAGATTCAGGAAGTTACCATGGCAACAGTAATGGTATGACAGCAAAAACTGTAAAATACAGTATTTAAGGTAGGCAAGCTCCTTATAATATCGATACATATGCCAACACTTTAGCGACTATTCACAGGTACTTTCCTGATCACTGAACCTGTTTACTTCAAAGCTAGTAGGATTTAATAATTCATACATTTGCACACATTTGTAAACATCATGGCAAGAGAGTTTCTGGAAACTGAACTCTTACCTGAAATCACCTTCACAGAAATAGGTTGCTTCTGCTGTATGGTTTGAGTGTGATTAAATCGTGCGTAACAGATGTAGTCTTCCCGGGTATCCTCTGGGAGCACATTGGAAAAATAAAGGTCTCCATTCAGACCCTGGGAAACTCTCTCACTCTGTGGAAGTCTTTGAAAGGCTGGAGAAAGGCGGAGAGACATCTAGATCATTCCATCACAAAGTAGCCACTTGCCAAATTAGTGAGATAAATGTATCTACTAATAACTAGTTCTGTGAACTTCACTTGAATGTTTTTTTTTCTCTATAAAAATCTTTGAGTAAAAGCAAATAACTGTAAAAAAAAAAAAAAAAGACACATGTATTAAAACTCCAATTGTACCTGCCAGACCCTCATTTCTCTGGAGTGGGGGTAGAGGTGAGATTAGAGTTGTCCAGTGAAGGGTTCCATGAAGCAAGCAGAAACCAAAAAATGTTTTAAAGAAAGAGTTTGCATGACTTTTCCTAACGTTTAAGTTAATCCCTAATTGTTAATCACAGATACACACGTATCTCAGAAAGTGCATTACGGAAGCTTGTAAGGGTGTTAACACGGGTTGCATCTATTGCAGTACATACACAGACAGACACCTTATACTGTGACAGCACCTAACTGTGATGAACTAGGTCCTGGGCAAGGTGTCAGGTGGACCCGGTTCCCTGCCCTGAGCTTGGGATCTAACTGGAGAATCAGGCAGCAAACAGGCAATTAACAACAGGGTGTAATGCTGCAGACGTGCCGCTCAGAGGCCCCCCACACCCAACCTCCCTCACCTCCTCTACTTTTTCTTTTCTGTGTTACCTATCACCTTCTAACAGACAATGTACTTTACCTGTCATGTATATGGCTTATAGCCCATCTCCCCACACTAGAATTTAAATTCCAGAAGGACGGAGACCGTCATCTGCTTTGTCTACTGTTGTAGCCCTAAAAATGCACCTGGCCCCTCACAGAAGCTCCAAAATGAAATGAATAACCATCAGCATTCTGACTTTCCAGTTTCACATTTAACAACCGACTTCTCCTCAGGCCCAAGGAACAGTCTAGCCTCAGGCGTGGAGGGGGGATTTTCTAAGGCGATGAGGAACTCAGGGAGATGGGACCAATGATCTATGTGTGAACTGACACTTGGCTGGCTAGCATGACTCAGGAAGCATCTGACTCAGTTCACTGGGAGAGTTCTTCAGCTCTGAATTGAGAGAACCAGGGAAAATTGTACCTCCTAGTTGCCTGGGACCAGGTGTCATGTCTCCCAGAGGATTTCTCGAGTCTGAGTCAAGCAGATATGCTCCTATAGCAGCAGGTGCCCTATCTAAAATGTCATGAAATGCAAAAATATGGGGAAAAGCCTGCCGCTCCCTTGGGCAGGAAAAGGTAGGGAAATGTGGAGCCAGACCTTGAAAGGATGCTGGTTAGCCATGTTAGTCAAGTTCTAGGTCAAGATGGGGGTTTGGTTGGCGGTTGTAAATTCATGGTTTGAAGCCATTAACCAGGGAAAGGGTTGTTTTAAAAAATAACTCAGAAAAATAATGTACATTTATTTCATGAATACAAAGAACTACAGATAGGGACACATTTATTCTCTTCCATTTCTCCTGCTGTATTTTATTATGGACCGGTGTTGGGAGATCAAATGAAAGGGAATGCCATTTTATGAGGATGGTAGCACTTTGCCCAAGGAGTTCCTTGGCATTACACTGGGGCCAAAAATGTATGCAGATAGGAATACCGTGATAAGGTCATCTTGCCAGAAGAATGCTACACAGATCCGAATTTTTTCTCATATCCAGATGAAATTTCACTTGAAAGGTCCAGATGCTTTGCCTACAGCCTAAAATGTATGTAAATGACATGGCCAGCAGCGCAATGTGAAAAAAATAAGTTACATATTCAGATGATTCTGAGACTCTACATGTATATGCCTCTTTATTAAGTGGAAAAGTCATCAATTCTGAGTAAGAACCAATAACCAAATACTGGGTCTCATTTTGGCAGTACATTTGGATACTGTTATCCTCGACCACATAACCCACTCATTTCCATTTCATTTGTTACTTATTCTTTCAAAATCTGTAAAAGCTGTTACGTGATCATAGGAAAAATATCTTCGCCCATTTATTCATTTATATATTGATTTTCCATTTCTTTGTGATACTTTCTCTGAGTGCTTTGATACAGAACAGTCAAAACTGGAAATGAAATGTGAGAGCTGAACTTTATCTTCAGTAATGTGCACAGCTGGTGATTTCAAAGGAAGTCATGTCACTGAGAACAGAATGTATTCCCTACACATATTTTGCAACCGTTCCCACCATTCTACCCAAAGGACCCTTGTCAAGGTCAACAGCGACCACCGTGTTGCCAAATGTAATACTCATTTCTCAGTCAGATTGGAAACTGATCTCTCAGCAGTATTTGAACAGGCTGATATTCTGTCTTCCTGACACTTTTTCTTCCCTTCGTCCCGGGGACACCCTCTCTTTCTGTTTTCTTCTTACCTAAGTGACTGCTTCTTCTCATCTACTTTCCTTTGCTCCTAAGTTCTTGGCCCCTGGAGGCTCCTGGTCTCAGTCCCCAGGCTTTGCTCTTCACCACCTGCACTCCCTCCCTTCGTCCTCCCCTCCAGTCCCCGGCTCTACAGAGCATCTCTGCAGCACTAACATTCACACATTGTCGGCAAGAGCCCTGAATCTTCCTTGGATTCATGTAGCTGTAGCTCTGATTCCTGCTGGAGACCTCCACAAGGATGCGTCACAAGCCTCTCACATCTCAAACCCTGGTTCCTAGTCTCCCGGCAGAACCTCCACAAGGATGCCTCACAAGCCTCTCATCCCAAACCCTGGTTCCTAGTCTCCCGGCAGAACCTCCACAAGGATGCGTCACAAGCCTCTCACATCCCAAACCCTGGTCCCTAGTCTCCCGGAAGAACCTCCACAAGGATGCCTCACAAGCCTCTCACATCCCAAACCCTGGTTCCTAGTCTCCCGGCAGGACCTCCACAAGGATGCCTCACAAGCCTCTCACATCCCAAACCCTGGTCCCTAGTCTCCAACGTAACATGCTAAGGGGAGGTGTGGAAGGATGGGAGAGCAGAGCAACAAACAATTCCCTAAGGATAGGGATGGGGTGAACAGATGTTAAACTGCCTAATGAATGACTTCAATTCTCTATGCCTCGGTTTCCTCATCTAAAAAGTGGTAAGAGTCTAGGCTTCCCTGGTGGCGCAGTGGTTGAGAGTCCGCCTGCCGATGCAGGGGACACGAGTTCGTGCCCCGGTCCGGGAAGATCCCACATGCCACGGAGCGGCTGGGCCCGTGAGCCATGGCCGCTGAGCCTGCGCTTCCAGAGCCTGTGCTCCACAACGGGAGAGGCCACAACAGTGAGAGGCCCGCGTACCGCAAAAAAAAAAAAAAAAAAAAAGTGGTAAGAGTCATCCGAGATGCTTCCTGGGACTGCTGTAGAAAATGGATGAGATAACTTATGTAAAGTCTTTAGCAAAGGGACAGGCACTTAGTAAATGCCCAATCAATATTAGCTGTTGTTACTACTATATATAAAATAGATAATCAATAAGCATCTACTGTATGGTGCAGGGAACTGTGCTCAATATTCTGTAATAACCTATATGGGAAAAGAATCTGAAAAAGAATGGATATATGTATGTGTATAACTGATTCACTTTTGCTGTACACCTGAAACTAACACAGCATTGTGAATCAACTGTACTCCAATATAAAGTAAAAAATTAAATTAAAAGAAAATTAGCTGTTGTTGGGGATAAAAGAACGAAACTGAAAGAAGAGACATAACACATCCTGAACAGCTTGATTTCCTTCCCTTGATGGGCTTCTGGTGTTTCAGGAAATGGCAATTCCATTTTACTAGTTGTTCAGTCTTAGACTTTGGGGTTACCTTTGATTAGACTTTGGGGTTACCTTTGATTCCTCTCTCTCATGCCTCCACCCTGACCCCAATAAATCCTGGAGGATCTACCTTCAAATTATATCTGGAATTTGACCATTTCTTCCTTCCTCCCTTCCTGCCTCCCTTCCTTCCTTTTTTTTTTTTTTTTTCGGCCACGTGGCACGTGGGATCTTAGTTCCCTGACCAGAGGTCAAACTCACGCCCCCTGCGTTGGAAGCGTGCAATCTTAACCACTGGACCACCAGGGAAGTCCCTGGAATCTGACCATTTCTTACTTACTTGACTGCCACTACCCAAGTCCGAGTCCCCCGACAACTCTTGCCCAGATCACAGCACTGGCCTCCTAACAGAACGCCCTTCTCTCCCTTTCGTCCTCTCTGTTCTCCACACATGAACCAAAGTGAGGTTCTTACTATTTGTTTTGATTCAGGTGAAGCCACTCCTTCAATGTCTCCCTACTTCACTGAAAGCAAAAGCCAAAGCCCTTCACCCGGAGCCCCTGGACTTTCTTGACCTCTTCTCTCACTGTCGCCCTTGGGTCAGTCAGCCCGGGCAACTGGCCGCCCTGCTGATTTTACACACGCCAGGGATGCTCCTGCCCTTGGGGCTTAAACCGGTTTTTCTCTTTCCACCCAGATATTTAAGGGCCTGCTTCTCTTTCACTCCTGTAAGTTTCTGCTCAAAACTCTGCTTATTTTTCTTCACAGCACTTACTGCCAACTGACACATATTTTCTAAATGCATTTATTCTCTGCTTCCTTCTCTCCCCGCTTTCATTCCCATTGCATAGAATATAAATTCAGTGACAGCAGGACCTTTGTTTGGTTTATTTAGAGAGGTGCCTGGTACATAGTAGGTGCTCAATAAAATAAAGTGACTGAATGAAAGGATATGTGATTTATTTTCCTGAGAATCTCTAAGACATTTTATAAACATCTTATGAATCACGAGAGGTAATAATTGATTGGGACAGCCAATAATCATAAGACTCTTGAAGAAAGAAAGTTCTTATTTTTAAAACTTACAGTTATCCATCCAGAATATTATAGGTGGTGGTAACCCAACTGGGGGTCTGCAGGGCAGTACCAAAGACTGGCCATTTCTAAGTGTTATTCGTTCAAGTTTTTCTTTGGTCCACAACGGTGACCCTAATGAAATAAAACAATAACTTCTAAGTTATTTCTGCATTGGAAAATAAAAAGAGCACTAGAAAGAAATATAAACCAAACTTTTGGAGAAATAGTAACTCGAAATTTATATACATTAACGACAAAAAAAATTTGAAATACAGTGTTAAAAAATGACATTAGTAGTATAAATTCTGAGTCAGCAATTCCATGTCTAAGAATTTATATTAAATAAATCCTTAAGAAGATACAAACTGATTTTTCTACAAGCATGCCCTTCATGAAAGAATGAAAAACATTTCTATGTCAAAAGATTTGTTAAACAAATAACTGTAAATGTACACCTTTGAATATCATACAGTGTTAGACAATGTATACTTATTTATAAGATTAATATAAAATATACATGATATCTAGATAAGGCAGAAACGGTTATAAAATAGTATTTCAGAATGAGCTTGTTTTCGACATGTACATACATATCTGCCTAGGTAAAAATAGAAAGAATAGTAATTTCCTTGAATGAAAGGATTTGTGAGTAATTTTGAACTTTCTTTTTTGTTCATTTGTAATTGATTTATTCTATAATGCACACATATTATACATATAATAAACATTTTAAAAAATGACAAGAACTTCAAATGGTTGCTGTTCTTTAAATACATGCTCCTGGGTTGTTGAGGGCATGTGGGTACTGACTATTGCAAAAAGAGCCAAAATAATATCAAGATGGTGAGGTCACCTTATTTCCAGTGAAATTTTGAAATAAAAATGTTTAAAGAAATACATGCATCCCAACGTTCATAGCAGCATTATTTACAATAGCCAAGACATAGAAGCAACAACCTAAGTGTCCATCGGGCAGATGCATGGATAAAGAAGATGCGGTACATATATACAATGGAAAATACTACCCAGCCATAAAAAAGAATGAAATTTTGCCATTTGCAGCAACATGGATGGACTTGGAGGGCATATGATAAGTGAAATAAGTCTCTGTACAGAGAAAGACAAATACTGTATGATATCACTTATATGTGGAATCTAAAAAATACAACAAACTAGTGAATATAACAAAAAAGAAGCAGACTCACAAATACTAGTAGTTACCAGTGGGGAGAGGGATAGGGGGAGGGGCAGTATAGGGGTAGGGAGTTAAGAACTACAAACTCTTATGTATAAAATAAGCTACAAGGATAGGCCCCAGTGTGGCTTCCGTGCCATCCATCTCGCGGTTGCTGCCGTAGGAGACCTTGGCGGTGGCCCAGGCCACACATGCCCACAGGCCCCCACTTGTCTCCTGTGGCAGCCTCCGTGCAGTCACCCAGGCCCAGCCAGCTGCCGGGGCTCTCAGTCTGCCCGTTCTCTAGTCACCGCTTACTTCGGGGTCCAGCAGATGCCGGAGACCAGGGAGACCTCGTGGAGGACATCGCAGGGGCCGCTAGCTGCCTCCTGAGCCCACTGGGTCTTCAGAGCCTCTCCGGAGAAGCTGTGTGGCTGACAGGATCTTGGTGCTCCAGCAGGGTGTCAGGCCTGTGCCTCTGAGGTGGGAGAGCCGAGTTCAGGACATTAGTCCACCAGAGACTTCCCGGCTCCACGTAATATCAAATGGCGAAAGCTCTCCCGGAGCTCTCCATCTCAACACCAACACCCAGCTTCACTCAACAACCGGCAAGCTACAGTGCTGGACACCCTATGCCAAACAACTAGCAAGACCGGAATACAACCCCACCCATTAGGAGAGAGGCTGCCTAAAATCATAAGGTCACAGACACCCTAAAACACACCACTGGATGCAGTCGTGCCCAACAGAAAGACAAGATCCAGCCTCATCCAACAGAACACCGGCACTAGTCCCCTCCACCAGGAAGCCCACACAACCCACTGAACCAACCTTAGCCACTGGGGGCAGACACCAAAAACAACAGGAACTACGAACCTGCAGCCCGTGAAAAGGGGACCCCAAACACAGTAAGTTAAGCAAAATGAGAAGACAGAGAAATACACAGCAGATGAAGAAGCAAGGTAGAAACCAACCAGACCAAACAAATGAAGAGGAAATAGGCAGTCAACCTGAAAAAGAATTCAGAGTAATGACAGTAAAGATGATCCAAAATCTTGGAAATAGAATAGAGAAAATACAAGAAATGTTTAACAAGGACCTACAAGAACTAAAGAGCAACAAACAATGATGAACAACACAATAAATGAAATGAAAAATACTCTAGATGGGATCAATAGCAGAATAACTGAGGCAGAAGAACGGATAAGTGACCTGCAAGATAAAATAGTGGAAATAACCACTGCAGAGCAAAATAAAGAGAAAAGAATGATAAGAATTGAGGACAGTCTTAGAGACCTCTGGGACAACATTAAACCCAGCAACATTCGAATTATAGGGGTCCAAGAAGAAGAAGAGAAAAAGAAAGGGACTGAGAAAATATTTGAAGAGATTAAAGTTGAAAACGTCCCTAATATGGGAAAGGAAATAGCCATTCAAGTCTAGGAAGTGCAGAGTCCCATACAGGATAAATCCAAGAAGAAACACGCCAAGGCACATGTTAATCAAACTCTCAAAAATTAAATACAAAGAAAAAAATATTAAAAGCAGCAAGGGAAAAACAACTAATAACATACAAGGGAAGCCCGATAAGGTTAACAGCTGATCTTTCAGCAGAAACTCTTTAAGCCAGAAGGGAGTGGCAAGACATATTTAAAGTGATGGAAGGGAAAAAAACTACAACCAAGATTACTCTACCCAGCAAGGATCTCATTCAGATTCGATGGAGAAATTAAAACCTTTACAGACAAGCAAAAGCTGAGAGAATTCAGCACCACCAAACCAGCTTTACAACAAATGCTAAAGGAACTTCTCTAGGCAGGAAATACAAGAGAAGAAAGAGACCTACAATAACAAACCCCAAACAATTAACAAAATGGTAATAGGAACATACATATCGATAATTACCTTAAATGTAAATGGATTAAATGCTCCAACCAAAAGACACAGACTAGCTGAATGGATACAAAAACAAGACCCATATATATGCTGTCTACAAGAGACCCACTTCAGACCTAGGGACACATACAGACTGAAAGTGAGGGGATGGAAAAGGATATTCCATGCAAATGGAAATCAAAAGAAAGCTGGAGCAGCAATTCTTGTATCAGACAAACTAGACTTAAAAATAAAGACTATTACAAGAGACAAAGAATGACACTACATAATGATCGTGGGATCAATCCAAGAAGATGTAACAATTGTAAATATTTATGTACCCAACAAAGGAGCACCTCAATACATAAGGGAAATGCTAACAGCCATAAAAGGGGAAATGGACAGTAATACAATCATAGTAGGGGACTTTAACAACCCACTTTCACCTTGGACAGATCATCCAAAATGAAAATAAATAAGGAAACACAAGCTTTAAATGATACATTAAACAAGATGGACTTAATGGATATTTATAGGACATTCCATCCAAAAACAACAGAATGCACTTTCTTCTCAAGTGGTCATGGAACATTCTCCAGGATAGATCATATCTTAAGTCACAAATCAAGTCTTGGTAAATTTAAGAAAATTGAAATCGTACCAGCTATCTTTTCTGACCACAATGCTACGAGACTAGATATCAACTACAAGAAAAAAATCTGTAAAAAATACAAACACATGGAGGCTAAACAATACACTACTTAATAACCAAGAGATCACTGAAGAAATCAAAGAGGAAATCAAAAAATACCTAGAAACAAATTACAATGAAAACATGACAAGCCAAAATCTATGGGATGCAGCAAAAGCAGTTCTAAGAGGGAAGTTTATAGCAATACAATCCTACCTCAAGAAACAAGAAGCATCTCAAATAAACAACCTAACCTTACACCTAAAGCAATTAGAGAAAGAAGAACAAAAATACCCCAAAGTTAGCAGAAGGAAAGAAATCATAAAGGTCAGATCAGAAATAAATAAAAAAGAAATGAAGGAAATGATAGCAAAGATCAATAAAACTAAAAGCTGGTTCTTTGAGAAGATAAACAAAATTGATAAACCATTAGCCAGACTCATCAAGAAAAAAAGGGAGAAGACTCAAATCAATAGAATTAGAAATGAAAAAGGAGAAGTAACAACTGACACTGCAGAAATACAAAGGATCATGAGAGATTACTACAAGCAACTCTATGCCAACAAAATGGACAACCTGGAAGAAATGGAGAAATTCTTAGAAATGCACAACCTTCTGAGTCTGAACCAGGAAGGAATAGAAAATATGAACAGAGCAATCACAAGCACTGAAATTGACACTGTGATTTAAAATCTTCTAACAAACAAAAGCCCAGGACCAGATGGCTTCACAGGCGAATACTATCAAACATTTAGAGAAGAGCTAACACCTATCCTTCTCAAACTCCTCCAAAATATAGCAGAGGGAGGAACACTCCCAAACTCATTCTACGAGGCCACCATCACCCTGATACCAAAGCCAGAAAAGAAACTACAAAAAAAGAAAACTAAAGGTCAATATCACTGATGAACATAGATGCAAAGATCCTCAACAAAATACTAGCAAACAGAATCCAACAGCACATTAAAAGGATCATACACCACGATCAAGTGGAGTTTATCCCAGGAATGCAAGGATTCTTCAATATATGCAAATCAATGTAACAAACCATATTAACAAATCGAAGGAGAAAACCCATGTGATCATCTCCATAGATGTAGAAAAAGCTTTTGACAAATTTCATCACCCGTGTATGATAAAAACCCTCCAGTAAGTAGGCATAGAGGGAACTTACCTCAACATAATAAAGGCCATATATGACAAACCCACAGCCAGCATCATTCTCAATGATGAAAAACTGAAACCATTTCCTCTAAGATCAGGAACAAGACAATTTTGTCCGCTCTCACCACTATTATTCAACGTTTTGGAACTTTTAGCCACAACAATCAGAGAAGAAAAAGAAATAAAAGGAATCCAAATCAGAAAAGAAGTAAAGTGGTCACTGTTTGTAGATGACATGATTCTATACACAGAGAATTCTAAAGAGGCTACCAGAAAACTACTAGAGCTAATCAATGAATTTGGTAAAGTAGTTGGATACGAAGTTAACATACAGAAATCTCTTGCATTCCTATACACTAATGATGAAAAATCTGAAAGAGAAATTAAGGAAACACTCCCATTTACCACTGCAACAAAAAGAATAAAATACCTAGGAATAAACCTACCTAAGGAGGTAAAAGACCTATACTCAGAAAACTATAAGACACTGATGAAAGAAATCAAAGATGACACAAACAGACGGAGAGATATACCATGTCCTTGGATTGGAAGAATCAATATTGTGAAAATGACTCTACTACCCAAAGCAATCTACAGATTCAATGCAATCCCTATCAAACTACCAATGGCATTTTCCACAGAACTAGAACAAAAAAAATCTCACAATTTGTATGGAAAGACCCCGAATAGCCAAAGCAATTTGAGAAAGAAAAATGGAGCTGGTGGAATCAGGCTACCTGACTTCAGACTATACTACAAAGCTACAGTAATCCAAACAGTATGGTACTGGCACAAAAACAGAAATATAGATCAATGGAACAGGATACAAAGCCCAGAGATAAAGCCATGCACATATGGTCACCTCATTTTTGATAAAGGAGGCAAGAATATACAATGGAGAAAAGACAGCCTCTTCAATAAGTGGTCCTGGAAAACTGTACAGCTACATGTAAAAGAATGAAATTAGAACACTCCCTAACACCATAAATAAAAATAAACTCAAAATGGATTACAGACCTAAATGTAAGGCCAGACACTATCAAACTCTTAGAGGAAAACATAGGCAGAACACTCTATGACATAAATCACAGCAAGATCCTTTTTGACGCACCTCCTAGAGAAATGGAAATAAAAACAAAAAGAAACAAATGGGACCTAATGAAACTTAAAAGCTTTTGCACAGCAAAGGAAATCATAAACAAGATGAAAAGACAACCCTCAGAATGGGAGAAAATATTTGCAAATGAAGCAACTGACAAAGGATTAATCTCCAAAATTTATGCAGCCCCGTATTAAAAAAACAAACAACCCAATCCAAAAATGGCCAGAAGGGCTTCCCTGGTGGCGCAGTGGTTGAGAATCTGCCTGCCAATGCAGTGGACACGGGTTCGAGCCCTGGTCTGGGAAGATACCACATGCCGCGGAGCAACTGGGCCCATGAGCCACAACTACTGAGCCTGTGCGTCTGGAGCCTGTGCTCCACAACAAGAGAGGCCGCGACAGTGAGAGGCCCACGCATCGCGATGAAGAGTGGCCCCCACTCGCCGCAACTGGAGAAAGCCCTCGCACAGAAACGAAGGCCCAACACAGCCAAAAATAACTAATAAGTAAATAATAAATAAATTTAAAAAAAATGGTCAGAAGACCTAAGTAGACATTTCTCCAAAGAAGATAAACAGATTGCCAACAAACACATGAAAGGATGCTCAACATCACTAATCATTAGAGAAATGCAAATCAAAACTACAATGAGGTATCACCTCACACCAGTCAGAATGGGTATCATCAAAATATCTACAAGCAATAAATGCTGGAAAGGGTGTGGAGAAAAGGGAACCCTCTTGCACTGTTGGTGGGAATGTAAATTGATACAGCCACTATGGAGAACGGTATTGAGGTTCCTTAAAAAACTAAAAATAGAACTACCATATGACCCAGCAATCCCACTACGGGGTATATACCCTGAGAAAACCATAATTCAAAAAGAGTCATGTACCATAATGTTCAGTGCAGCACTATTTACAATAGCCAGGACACGGAAGCAACCTAAGTGTCCATCGACAGATGAATGGGTAAAGAAGATGTGGCACATATATACAATGGAATATTACTCAGTCATAAATGGAAATGAAATTGAGTTATTTGTAGTGAGGTGGATGGACCTAGAGTCTGTCCTACAGAGTGAAGTAAGTCAGAAAGAGAAAAACAAATACCGTATGTTGACACATATATATGGAATCTAAAAAAAAAAAAAAAAAAAAAAGGTCATGAAGAACCTAGGGGCAAGATGGGAATAGAGATGCAGACCTACTAGAGAATGGACTTGAGGACACGGGGAGGGGGAAGGGTAAGCTGGGATGAAGTGAGAGAGTGGTAGTGTATATATGGACATATGTACACTACCAAATGTAAAATAGATAGCTAGTGGGAAGTAGTCGCATAGCACAGGGAGATCAGCTCGGTGCTTTGTCACCACCTAGAGGGGTGGGATAAGGAGGGTGGGACGGACACGCAAGAGGGAGGAGATATGGGGATATATGTATAGGTATAGCTGATTCAGTTTGTTACAAAGCAGAAACTAACACACCATTGTAAAGCAATTATACTCCAATAAAGATGTTAAAAAATAATAAGCTACAGGGATATATTGTACAACATGGGGGATATAGCCAATATTTTACAATATCTATGAATGGAGTATAACATTTAAAAATTGTACACCTGTAACTTTTATAATATTGTACATCAACCATACTTCAATTAAAAAAACATTTAAAGAAATAACACTTAGACCTCAATTACCCATTTCATACCTAATTTATTTCCATCTGGCTGTTTGGAGTATGCTTAAATATAAGATTCATGAGAAATTAATGATTAGATCAATTTGAGGAAAAATACACTTTTCTTACCCCTGGTGTTTTATTCTGGACTTGTACAAAAGACACATTGGATTGGCAAAGCATTACGCTGAGGAATTGAGGTCAAGTGGAAAGGGGTGATGATTTTCAGAGTATTGGAATCAATGCCATTGCTTTCTTGTAATGGTATTCAGATGGTGTAACAGATGCTGGGGTTGGAGCTATACTTTAAAAAGGGTCCTGTTTGGTGAACAGGTCCGACTTACTGGATGGACGGATGACAATGTTATTAGAAATTGCAGCCCCGCGTTCGTTCCTGGCTGTACACTGATAAACTCCTTCATAGGTCTCTGCTTTCCCCTCGCTCATGATGTTGACTGTGAGGGTTCCCGAGCCAGACTTCATGGTGACAAGAGGGTCTTTATCTATGTCGAAATGAGTCCCATTTCGGGTCCAGGAGAAACTGCCCAACGCATAAAGGATTAAGCTTGTTTACAGCCCAGAAAAACAGGAGTATTTCCTCTCTAACAAATTCCTAGCAATTTTATGGATTTCTAAATAACGATTAGATTTTAGTATTCAGTAAAAGAATAATAGGCTCCACACCTAAAATGTTTCATTGAATTATGACTTAGAAAAAAGTGCCAGCCATACATACTAAGGTACATGTCTTCATTAGAACTAACCAAAATCTGACTCAATAAAGAAATCATGCATACAAATTGCCTGTCATCTTTCAAAGAAAACATAGGAAGTAGGTCTCCGAGGCACACTCTCTTAGAGCTTTATTAGCATTTTAATTGTAAACTCCATTGTTCATAGAATTGATAACCTGCCTATGAAGATTTGCTCTGGGCTGAAGTGTAAGAAGAAAGGCCTTCACAAGTACTAATATATGTGTGTGTTTAAAAGTGATCAGACCAGTGTCAAGTTACCAAAATGCAAAGTATGAGTTGGGAGGAGAGGCAACATGAGTTCAATGGTGTTTTAAGTGTCGATTATTAAAAGTGATCATTGTATATCAAATATATATTGAGAATTTTTAATTCTAGAGATGATTTTTGTAAATTTCTTAGGAAGTATTTCAAATTGTCAACTGAAAGTCTTCTTTTTCAGTTTTATTTATGTAAAAGACTGCCTTATATAAAAGTCCCAGTGCCCAAGTAATCAAATACTTGATAACTGGTCACAAATCAACAATGGCCATGCTCTTAACAAAAGCATGAATCTCTAAACTTTCCCATGATTTCCAAGCCCTCCTGGATTTCCCTTCCCACTGCTTATCCTTATACCAGGAGTTGTCACAACTCCTAGGGTAGGGGACAGGGGTGTTGGCTGCTGCTGGCTTATTGTAGGTAGAGGCCAGGGATGCTGCAAAGTATCCCACAATGCACAGGAAAGCTCTTGTCTCCACAGCAAAAAAATTGCCCAGCCCAAAATATCAATAGAGCTGAGATGGAGAAATCCTGCCTAACAGTTACAGGAGGTACTAATTAAATGTTAAACTAAAAGGGGTGTCATCAAAGGACATCACATTAGGGCCTGAGTGCTCAAGGGTTTCTAATAATATGACAGAAGAGATTGTTTTGAAGCCATCCTTTGATGGAAGTTTTTGGTATACTTTGGTAATTTTTTTCTCCGGTGCCAGTCTGTGATAGATTAATAAGGCTCGTCATAGACAAACTTGGCAATAAAATATTGAGAAAATTTCCCTTCTTTATAACTTAAAAAAATACACATTATCTCTCAAAAATAATGATCTAACTCTCCAGAATTTCCATATACTACTGGACAAGTTACGGATCATCCACTAAGGAGCTGTGGGACCTTGGATAGGTTAACCTAGCACTACTGGGCATCAGTTCCCCATCTATAAGATACACTGGTTGGACCAGATAATGTCTAATGTCTCCCCCAACTCTAAAAGGCTGTACAGTGCGCATGCCAAGGTGCACATGGAGAATCCTGAGTGCTGAACACTGCCATGTTTGGAAAACCACTTGGGGCTATTTTATAGACTTGTAGAGAGCTAGGAGAGATCTTCGAAGTTGTCAAGTTCAACTTCTTTATTTTACATTTATCTGTAAACTGAGGCCCATAGAGAAGGAATTTGCCCATGTCATTAAGCCATCAGAAGGCTCTTTCCACATCTTCCCACAATTTTTTAGCATATCACAGAAAGGTATCAGTATGGAAATGCAACCACCTGGGTTTTTAAGAAGAACCAACAGAATTTAATTAAGCAGAGAGACAAAACAATGAACCTACAAATGATACTTTAATAATATGCAGGACCTGAAATTAACTTCAACGTGAATATCAATGCTTATTATCAGTATTATAACAGCACAAAGCACACCCACCTTGGAGGAGGTTTCCCTTTGGCCTCACACTGGATTACAATATTCTCCCGTGGGTCAATAATGTAATCTTTTGGAGACTGTTGAGTAATGGTTGGAGGTTGTACCACTTAATGGTAGAAAGAAGAACAATGTAAAGAAATAAATCATTTAATATCATAATAGCAATCACTTTTTTCTATATCAAAATCACTTACCCTAGACTAAATATGCTCCAAATGTTTTTAGTAATTTCCACTATGGTGACACACCCCCTCAGCAGATTTTTAGCTAGCTAAAAGACTCCTAAAATTTTGGAGTCAAGGCATAACTCCCTTTTGGTAACTTTATATGTGCTCATAAAGCCCATTTCCCCACTCTGAAAGTATGGGAAAATAGTTACCAATATAAGCTTATATTAAGATAGTTTCATTTCTGATGTAACAATGAGAAATTTCTCTGATAGCTTTGATTCAAATGATGCCTTTCAATGAAATTTAAGTTATGAGGTAAATTTGCATCTTTCTTGGGAAAGAGTTACTGACTTGTAGTTCATTACTGGGCTCATGTAAATTAATACATTGGCAACAAATATATTTGAGAAGCTAACGTGAAAAAGATGGTTAAAATTAGAGACTTGACATGTCTTATTAGAGCCAGGAGGTAGGTGGCTACTAGGAGCAAAGATAAAACAAACTTCTTTAGAAGAGAAATTGAATTGGGAAGCTCTCTGTTTTAGGAAACAATATTCTCATTTCACTCTTCAAAGTGTTATCTGATCATTTATTATCAAATTGTAGGGAGAAACTGTTCTGATCTGGAGCAACTGAATCTGAAAAAAGCTGGTACATGGACATTTGATGTTCAGGTCACTCTAAGATTACCACGTCTTCCTTCTTGTGAAATCAGAATCACAGAGTGTAGAACAGGAAGGGACTGGAGAAATAATCCATTTCAACTTCTTTTGTTGCTCAGAGCAGCAAAATAGCTTGACTAGGAAGGCACAAAGCACAGAAGAGAAGCGAACTCTCCTGGTGGAAGCCACTGCCTTGCACAACTCGAAGGAGAGCTGTTTACACAGACCAGTGGTTCTCAACCAGGGGCCATTTGTCCCCAGTCCTTGGGGGATATCTGGCCACATCCAGAGTCCATTTTGCTTGTCACCACTGGGATGGGGGTGGTCCTGGCATCTGTTGGGTAGAGGCCAGGGATGCTGCTAAACATCTTACAATGTACAGGACATCTTTACCATGTACAGACTTATCTGGATCATTTTTCATATTCTGGATCGTCCCTTTCCTCTCCACCTATGCTCTGTGCTTCCTTTGTGAAACTTCTTCCACCTGTCAATCAAGTATTTCCCAAAGCTTAATAATCGTCCTCAGCTTTTGTCTTTCTTTCCTGTGGTGAATTGTTGCCAGGGCTAAATTGATCATTTCCATGTTCAATGCCTTATAAATCTGTAAACATGGATCTCTTCTCTTGCTTTGTCTGCAGTCTCGGGGCTGTTCACCAGACGTCTCTTACTAAACATCCAAATAACACCTAAAATATAGATAAAAAATGAAACTCATAATTGCCATCATTTATTGTGCACCTATTAACTGCGGGATACTGCACAGCGTCAATTTCAACTCCTTTAGCAAGATCCATCCCTTCCTCGTCCTCCTTAGCCAGCTGCTCTTCCCAGCCTCTAGCACTGTTCACAGGACACTCATTCTTCTAGCCGGCAGTTACCAAAGCTGGTTAACAGTTTGGGCTAGTGGTTAAGAACTAGTCTATTTCTTACCAGCTGTGAGACTTCAAGCACGTTTCTTAACTTCTGTAAGCCCTCGTTTCCATAGAGGAAAAGCAGGGTTTAAAAGTAGTATCTACCTCTTAGGGTTGCTGGGAAAATTAAATAAAATAATTTGTGTAAAATTCTTAGTACATTCCAGTCCTATAATGGTTCAGTGATGTTAGCTATAAACATTTTTAATTAGACCAGCTTCACTTTGGAGTGATCCTTCAGGCTTTGGGAGTAGAGAGTTTGGGATGATGGAAAGAAGCCTAGAATTTCCCACTCAGGGACTGGTGGGCATAGGGGGACTTTTAGGAGTGACTCAGTCCAATTCTTTGTGCTTTTCTGTAAGTGACAGAGGTGCAAGGGTAATGGTTGCAGACCCAGAACTTCTATTCATGTGTCTGTAACAGAGCTGGCTTAGGTGCCACGCATAAGTGCTAAGAGTTTACCACCTAGATGTACCTCTTTGAAGCGTGCTTAGGTCAACTGGCAACTAACAAGGGCTTTGAAGTAATAAGGGGAAAGGGTGGTTTTATATAATTTTCCTGGCTAATCTAATATCAAAGAATTTTTCAAATGCCTGAGAACTACTTTTTTAGGTAGATGACAGATGTTGCCCTACTGTCAGAGGCAGCAGTTATAGATTAGAGCACGCCACTCGGAGATGATGTGAATGGGGGTGCCTGTCTTTTGCACACATCAAAACAATTCTCAAATTCTCTGGGCCATTATACAGATGACACTTAGAAACACTAGTCTACCCAGTCCTACAGGTTGAAGAAGTTTGACAGCGAACTCGGGTGAAGCATTTTCATGCACCCACCTCCTATATATACCCAAAGACATGTTTTTATTCCAGCAAGCCTTTAACAGCGTTTAGAACCAGACATTCTCTTCAAATTTTGTGAATTTTCTCACTGAGTTACATCAGACGTGAACAAAGCTCAGAAGTTAGTAGCCCAGAATACTGGTAAAAGAAAGACAGTAATACCTGAGTCTTCAGAATTCATGCAAGGAATAGATTAAACCTGCTTCTTGGAATTTAAATGCAATGATTAGCCACAGTAAACACACACGCTTAAAAAGACGTTAGTCACGAAAACAAAATCGTGCGTTTTAATTCACAGCATTCATTCAAAAACAAAGACACAGTCAAATTTTCACACTGCCTGGTAATGACGGAAAGACACTTACAGTCTTCAAGAAGTTTTGCTTTTTCCCCAGCAATATCAGCAGGTGAGTGGGCAAACAGGATTAAAGAAAACCAGGTGTTAGTAATAAGAACGTTAGCACCCTGAAGATAAAAGGGGCATTTGCCTATTTTATTTGACCTAAAAAACCAGTAGAGCAAAGGCGGAGGTTGTGAAGTAGCAAGAGAAAGAAACTCCCATTAAAGGTTTTGTTTATTCCTGAAGCAGACCTTTCTACATCCACATATGGAAGAACAAAAGGGATGCTGTAGGCCAAAAAATGATTCTGCCAGGAATAGGAATGGCTAATTCCATTCCATACGTGTTGTGCTGGACAAGTAATTACATTCAATTTGAAAAACAGCTGAAATCTACAATTAATCTGAGTTGTCACATACTGTGTTGTGTCTGATCCTATTACCCCAGACATCACTACGCACATGGTGACAATACCTAACAATGGGACATTGCTACAATGACAGCGCTCCATCCAAGCCAAATCCAACACTGATCTGAGGTTTTTAGATTTCTACGGTTAATCGCCAAGTAGGTAATTGCACTTTTCAGACTGTTAGCATGTTTCTGCTTCAGAATTCCTCAGTCACCCAGGGTTTGCTAGTACCCACCCCAAGGAGCGGCTCATGGAAAGGGGGGATAAGGAAGAGGGGCAGGGAAGAAATGACATTAGCATGCAGTTCATATGATTCTGCTGTGCTGCCTGTCATTACTACTTGCAAAGGTTAATGCAGGAGCACCTGGGTTGCCTGTGACTTTCTTTTCATCATGGTTCTGCTGTTCTCCATTAGCAGCGATAATTGAGTTAGCCGTAGGTGACTGTTTCCCTCTGATTGTAAGACTGAGCAGTCAGATTAAAGGGGAACATATTTAACAGAAGAGAGAACAAAAGCATTTCTCTCAAATGCTCTTTCTTCTACACATCCATTAGGGCAAATGCTTACTTAGGCATTCCAACTCCAATGGGCTTAACCAATCATATCTCTTTTTTTTTTTTTTAACTGAAATTAAGGTCACTGAATGAATATCTTTTGAAAAGAAGGAGAACGTTGCATTTTCTTACACTTTAGACTAAAGATGCACAGAAAAGGGAGTCAACAAAGTATGGGGCCAATCACATCTCTTCTTAATTGTCTCCCCACTGGCAGTTGCAACCTCATTGGCAAAAAAAAAAAAAAACAAAAAACCTGACATCCCAACAATAGAATCGCCCCGGGAAAGTGTACCTTCCTTGTACCTTGGGAAGCTCGCCAAACAGATGTTCTATTCAAGAAGCTAATGGATTTAAAGAGGTCATGCTGATTAGGGATGAAGAATAAACCAATTCTGAAGTACAGTAATAGTCCAGATTTCAAATTCTGCTTTCCGTTGCAGGAAAAGTGACCCGTTGGCTCCTAGCATTATCTTTATTTCTTACAAACAGGCCACCCAGCCCAGGGAGAGTGCAGTATATACAGTACTTTATTCAGGAAAGGGTGGGCTCCCATAGTAGCTGTTACTTGCTCCATTTTTTTTTTTTTTTTTTTTTGTGTTTTGTGGGCCTACTCACTGCTGTGGCCTCTCCCGTTGCGGAGCACAGGCTCCGGACGCGCAGGCTCAGCGGCCATGGCTCACGGGCCCAGCCGCTCCGCAGCATGTGGGATCTTCCCGGACCGGGGCACAAACCCGTGTCCCCTGCATCGGCAGGCGGACTCACAACCACTGTGCCACCAGGGAAGCCCACTTGCTCCATTTTAAATAGTAATTTTGCCGAAGACTTGTTTCATTCTCAACATTGACATCTTGGTTATCACCGTTTTAAAAACAAAGACCTCTCACTAGGCTTTAGATAAGATATAGTTCCTAGCTCTAAACTCATATTTAAGATCCAAAACTCAAAGGTGAATTTTGCCTTGTCTGAATGCAGAGAAACGAGCCGTGGGTAGTTTGGGGATACAGAGGGGTGTGGGGTTGGCTGAGAGATGATCTTTTCACTCTTAGCATATGAAGAAAGAAGGTGGAGATGCGGGGACAGGATAAACGGGGTGTGGGGGGGTCTCTGTGATCATTTTAAAGCGATTCCTATAGTTTTCTTGCGGGACTGCTTCTATAAAGAGTTGCCTGCTAGGAGGATCAAGGGTAGCTCACAATTCACTCCTTCTCTGGTCAGTCCCCCCATGGTACACCAAAAGCACCTGAGGGGAGGGAAAGATAATGACAGGGAAGGGACAATATGTCTGCAATTCAATGGCCATTTCTAGGGTCTGATTCTTTATAAACACAGGGTGCTGAAGGTAAAAGCCAGATTAGTTTTGATTTCACTTTTCAGGATCACACGGACATCTCCTCCATCCACACGGTTCAGAGGGATGGTAAATGCCGGGGAGGGTCTGACTCCCGGGCCTAAGAGCTTTCCAACGTTAATACTTACGATCAAGAGGGACTTCCAGGGCACTAACCATCTGGCACAGGAAGAGTATCAGGGGTGCTCTGCCTGCAGATAAGTGCTTCTTTTTCGGCATCATTATTTTAAGCTGCATTAGCTGAACTCCCGCTGAGCCCCACGAGCTGAATTTCCTTTTCTTCTTTCACAAAAGATGTGTGTGCAACGTTTAAATAAGTCTCATGCAGGAAACTGAAAAAGGACAGGAGAAGAATTATAGTGCACTTTTGAAAAAAGGAGGAAATGAAGAGAGGAAGTTGGCGGCACAGAAAATCAGTTCTGTATTATACATGAACTCTAAATGGAACTCTAACTTTTAAATATTTCACTCTGAAGACTGAGAGACTCATTTATTCATAAATCAGCTAAAATTAGGTCAGAAATATTTGTAGGGATGTCAAGCAAAATCTGTCAACTTTGCCACCCTTCTGGTTTTCCCGTTTTAAATACCTGCTTTATATTAGAGGCTACCATGTTCCTCATAGATCAGGAAAACTCGGCTTATAAATCGGTTAGAAGGTGTGCCTTTGAAGGGGAGGCCTAATGGCTGCTCCTTTCTAGAGATTACCGCTGGGAAAGTTCAGGGCACGGTTGCCAATTTGCTTCAAACCCCAAACACTGATTTACCGGTTGAACCACCAAGAATTCTGGCCTTCTCCATCTCCTACCTAGACCGTGGCAACAGCTATGCCTGGGCTCTGAGTTCCAGGTCTTCCTCACTGCAGTCACCCTCCTAAACAGTGTTGATTAGTTTTCCTAAGGGTCTTTGGTTAAATACTGGGAGTAGCCCCATGGGACCTACCCGATTAAAGTTCAACAGATCCTTAAATAAGTAATACAAAAACTTGAATGACCTGGTCTCTATTTATCCCACCAACCTCATTTCCCTCTATCGTCATGTAAGCATTCTTTTTTGCCTGATTGTCTGATTCTGCTTTGCTTTCTTGGGTCAATCCTTCAGTACGCTTTGAACTGTCCTAACTTCTTGCCTTGGTTTATTCTATTCCTTTTACCTGGAATGCCCTCTCCACCCTATTTCCTCAACAATGTCCAATGGGTTTCTTTATAGAGCGTTTATTGGGTTGGCCAAAAAGTTCGTTTGGGTTTTCTGTAACATCTTATGGAAAAACCTGAACGAACTTTTTGGCTAACCCAACATGAGCTGATCACTCAAACTAGAAGGGATTTCACTCTCTGAGAATCTCTGAAATTACGTTTTATTCATCACATATAGTATACAGGTAGATACAGTGATAGACTTTTTTTGGGGTATGCATATTCTCTCCCCTACTCCTTCAGGCAAAGGTTGAGCCTCTCCCATCTTTGTATTCCTCTCCTATCACCTAAGATAGTATGCCTTGCACATGAAAGTACCAAGAGAACATGAGCACACAGAATACAGACCTCTGTCCTACAACAGACCTCTACCTGGAATGACGGGTTTAATCACACCTTCTCATCAATAAAGAGAAGTGTGAGTGACCAATGGCTCTCTTGCGAAGGTAGGGGTGTCATTATTATAAACTAAGATTGTTCTTACAGCTTAATTACTGGTGTAATCTTGGATTTTTAAAATGTCCATCTTTCCCACTGAACTGAAAGCCTCGAAGGGTAGGGACAACATCTTTCCTGTTCCCCATTGTGTCCCCAGAGCTCATCACAGTGCCTGGCACGCGGTAGGGAGTAAATAAATATTGGTAGAAAAAAAGTGAAGGGGGGAAAGGGGAAAGGTGAGGTGGTATTCAGATAGGCACTCTGACCACAGTCTGCCTGTGGCTCTATTTATATTTACATTACTTGGTTTAAAAACCAAACTCTTGTCAATATGGTCAAATTAGTTGGCATATCATGTCTGTGTATGGAAGAGAGCTTAAATGTATAAAAGAAAAATGAAACAATGCTGACAACATGTGTTTTGCTAGCAGCTGAGTTCTGATTTGAACTGGATTATAATTATAGTTGGACATTGCTTGCTAAACAAATACAAAAAAATATGCTAAACATAGACATTATACATATATAAATATTATTTTGTGAATGAAACATCCATACTGTGTGGTTTCATTTAAGATCCAGGAAATTTGTCTTCCCATATTATAATATATAAACAATCATGACCATTAAACATCGAGAGGCCGGTAGAAAAGCTCGCCCAACCATTTCTAACCAAAATATAAACCAGACTGTCTTTCTGTGCATGCAAAGCAGATCTATACCATTTAATCGAATTTACTTAGGTCTCTCATGATTTTTTTTTGGTTGAAACGCTAATTGTGAATTTACACATAAGCTTCAAGGAAAATTAACATAAATGGCACTAAAACAAGTCAATGGTACATACTACACATACTGAGAGAAAACGACAGAACCAAGCACCAAGAAAACAAAAGGTATACCTTTCTGATTTGTGTGTCAAGCTAACTGAGTTTATTCAATTTAAGTGCCGAGCTTTCTGAAGAGATGCCAGAGAACTTAAACACTTTCTAAAAGATGTACTAAGAAATTGTAATGCCCGTAAGAGCGTAAGCAACTACATACAATTTCCAAGTTCTTCATTCATTATTTATTTTGCTTGGATGCCTTAACTATTCATCCTTCAGAACAGAGAAAACAATGACACAACGTCGTGTAAAAGAAAGTAGCATTCAACTGCTTTGCCTTTTCAGAATATAGATGGAATAAAATATTCCATATTAAATCACAGTGTTATATAAAGAAACAAATAAAAATCTTAAGAAAAACTGAAACAACACTTACTTAAAGAGACATGAGTCAATCTTCACAGTGAGAGGAGCTCATGAACTACAGGGAATGAAGATGTGGTCTCTCTTCAGAAGCTGTAAGTTCATTTAAACCAATAGCCACAAAATCATCTCCAGTGTAGATTCTGTTTGGGGAGGACAAAGCAATGGCCCAGCCCACCCTCCAAATCCTGCCCATGGAAAATCACCGACTTCTCCTATGAATGCCATCACAGGTGAATAACCCAACACCCAAGGACAGCATTAGGTCCCCGGCACTCAGTCACAGTGAAAATCAAATACAGCTACAGAAAACTGAGCTTTCTCTCTTGAAGAGTGATGGGCTTTGCAAGTCTCACAAAGAAAAACCACTGCTTCTGCCCTCGGAGTACCAATGTCAGCACCCTGCCCTGCCAGGAGCCCACCTGTCTTTTACTTTACCTTGGAAAAAGGATGGTCATTCTCTCTTACATGAGAATCGTGAACTAAAACTAAATGGTTAATGCAATTACATTAACATGAATGAAACCCCCATTTGAAAGAGCAGCATCTTGTTTAGTCAAGGCTAGAGGGCATGTTAGCACAATATAGCTTATAATTTTCAAAAATTATTTGCCACAGACATTTTAAAGCATGCTTGAATGAGGCAAATGATAGGTTCATCTTCAGAATATAAATCATCCTGATATTTAAAACCACATATATTGTTAAAACAACCCAGAGTAATGATAAACAGGAAAGCCTTTTACTATTTCACTTCATTTCACTCCGTTCAAAGCAACTTTTCATGTATTACCTACAGAATCTCTTAACAGAAGGAAAAAAAAACCTCCCTCTTTTAGTAAACTTTCTATCATTAGGAAAGAAACGCAATTCAAGATTTCCTTACTTCTCTTGCCTAAAATTCATATTAAACCATACAGCACATGTTGCCTCACATTTTTACCATATATTTTAAAAGAAAAACCTAAGGTTTTGACAAAGGATTCATATTAAGCCCAAGAAACATAGCTCTCTTGTTGCTTAAGAAGTCCTGTCATTAGAAAGAAGAGAAAATCTTTGTTTTTCTCAAGTGAAAACTGAAATTATTTGAATAAAAAAAAATATAGCAGCTCTCCACTAGAACCAGAAGGCCATGCATTACTTACCACTTCATTCTAGCCTGTCTGTACTTTTCAGCTTCCCAGCATGGGTGGTTCAATGTTGATTGCACGGTGTAACACAATCTACTCTCTAAGCCAGTAAACAAAGATGCTTATGTGACTGGATGCCCTTTGGCACACTAATTACCGCTCTGGTGAGCCCTCAGCGGCTGGCCTCACTGAGTGGATAGCTAACTGGAAGTGGCATCATCTTGACTGCGAAAGGCGTTTTTCAGCAATCAACTCGGGATGGTTACTTGTTTTTTTAATTGAGGTACAGTTGATTTACAATGTTGTGTTAGTTTCTGACGTACAGCAAACTGATTGTTATATATCAATATACATGTATATGTGTGTATATATATATTCTTTTCCATTATGGCTTATTACAGGATGTTAAATATAGTTCCCTGTGCAATACAGTAGGACCCTGTTATTTATCTGCTTTATACACAGTAGTTTGTATCTGCTAATCCCAAACTCCTAATTTATCCCTCCCCCAACCCCTTTCCCCTTTGGTAACCGCAAGTCTGTTCTCTCTGTCTATGAATCTGTTTCTGTTTTGTAAATAAGTTCATTTGTGTCATATTTTAGATTCCACATATAAGTGATATTATATATTTGTCTTTCTCTGTCTGACTTACCTCTCTCAGTACGACAGTCTCTGGGTCCATCCATGTTGCTGCAAATGGCGTTATTTCACTCTTTTTTAAGGCTGAGTAGTATTGGGATGGTTACTTTTTATATTTTGTTAAACGTTTACCAAAAGGAATAAGCACAGTAATGCCCATTCCTAGCCCGTGCTTGTGCTGGTCAATCACTGGTTTTGAGTCTAAGACTATGGAAGGAAGATTAGAGAGAAATGGACAAACACTTCGTATAATTAACACATGAACAAAGTCACACAAATCTACACAACTCCACTACCAGGAATGCGAGTTTGGGATTATGTGACTCTAGAGATTGTAACGATCTCTTCAAATAACAAGGCAAACTTTGTGAAGCAGAGGAACACGTTTCTAATTCCCTCCTAGACCAAAGGGATGTCCCATAATAGAGATTCTACAAGGAATCTGGTAGCTAGAACCTGGAATAGTACTGAAGGAAAGGTGAATAATTAATAGATGTTTTTTAACCAAGTAATAGATGACAGAATACATCTTGATAATAGCTCAAATCTCCATTCCTCAGAGCACTCTAACTGATTATGTTACTTGGTATTCATAAAAATCACAGAAAATAGGAAAGCAGGTATTATACCCATTAAACAGATGAGGAAAAAACCAATCATGGTGGCCATTATTCACTG